TCATGGTCCCCACAAGTTTGAAGGCATTTTTGAGACTCAAAGTGTGGTTTTAGTGACAGGATTACAATTGGGTTATGGTTAGGTTTAGGGTTTCATTTTGCATGGTTAGGGTAAGGGGCTAGGGAAAGCATTATGTCAATTAGATGTCCCCAAAAGATATGAATGCAAAAAGGCTGTGGAAAACACTGAGCTCACACACACACACACACACAAATTGTTTATTTGCATCGGGGAAGCAAACACCGGTGTCCATCTTCATCGCGTCTGTCTGCCTCATCTTTCAGTCCTGGATCGCTCCTGGTTCGGTTTACAATTTACATGTGACAGTGTCTCTTTCTCACTGTTGCAGATAATGAAAGAATCTGCTGCTCGTACCTTATTCACAAACAGGAAAACACACACACACACACACACACACACTCTCCCTTTGGAGATACAATAAGCCTGTATGGGATGGCAGCTTTGCAATGGGAAGCATCTTCATTCAGCAGCCACTTGGCCTGTAGTGATAGCTGCTGCATTCTTTGTTGCTGCCATACTGCACAACCTCAGGCTTACACAACACGATCCCACTCCGACTTCTTCTCGGGGACATTCTGTCACAGCTAAAGGGCACGGGAAAAATCCTGAAATTAAGACTTTACAAATTCTGAGGAGAAACTGGCTCGCGGCTGCAGATGAGAGCGGCTATACGAGGCAGACTTTTCAAAGAACACTGAAAAACCACTTATTATTGACTCTATCGAGCTTCACTTCTTTGAATACTCATCTACTCTGGCTGCCTCGGCTTATTTGCACTGGATGCATAAGAGACGTGAAGACGGGGAGATGAGAGCGAAAGGAAGACGGGGCTGGAAAAACAAGTGATTAAAAGATAAAAGGGAGAGAGCAGATGATGAGGGAGCAGCGGTGTGTGATTAAATGGCGGTGGTGGTCCCATTGGGCTGTGGGTCTTATTGCATTTTAATGGGGGGGCTGGATGATCTTTGACCCTTTGTGAGGCAGTGGTAACACCTTAGTGCAGATCAAACTGCCAGCCTTGACAAACCCCCAACCCATGAAAGGCAGCTGGGCACTGAGAATGAGGTGTGTGTGTGTGTGTGTGTGTGAGTGGTGTGTGTGTGTGTGTGTGTGTGTGTGTGCGCGCTCGCAGGGTCACAAGCAGATGTGTTTATCCTGCTGCTATGGCAACTCCAGCAGTAGCCTTGGGCAAATAACAACAAGCAAAGCAATGTGTGTGTGTGTGTGTGTGTGTGTGTGTGTGTGTGTGTGTGTGTGTGTGTGTGCAGGAGGGAGAATTTGAGATGACAGGATTTTCAAAATACGAGCAGCATGATTAAATATAAGTTTTCAATTCATACACCTCCTGCCTGCACCCCCACTTTCTCCCTCCCCGGTTGCTGGCCTGCCCCTCAATCATCAGTCCCTTCTTTTCACCTTCTCTTTCTCCAGCTCCACATGCTAAGTGGGAACATTGTTACGGTCAATTTGTCCCATTCAGGGTCCCAGTGGGCAGTGTCCCTGCCCTGACAGCCTGCAGACGGAGACCACACTGCCTGAGAGGCCTTGACATCAAGGTCCAAAGGAGACTTAAGAGCGAGAGGGGGAGGAGGGGGGTGACGAGAGGTAATGGGGGGGGGGGGGGGGGGTACTCTGAAGAGAAAGGAAGAAGAAAAAGAGACCTGGGTGCCGGGTTTAGCATGAGCCCCCCGGACCGTGCAGCTCAATAGTATTTCGTCTTATTTCATCTGTCAGGCTCACACTAGATTGATGTAGGTGGTGAGAGCTTTGCTCCCTCGAAGGATGCTTCGAATAGTTCTGCTAGGCTGGCAAAAACCCAAGAAGATGTATGACAGCCCAAACAAACCTGATGACACGATCTGGATTATTTATTCAGTTTATGAAACCTGACATCAGAAAACAGCACCACTGTCTAACCAACTGGAGTATTCCTAGTATCACTGCAGGTCTTTACTATCTGGGAGAGGGCAATGCCTGGAACTGGTTATCAATATCATTCGAGAAAAATGGCTTGGTGTTGTTTTGTTTTTTTTAAAACAGGTAGCCCTCATCGTGATGGTGCACACGGATAATCATCTGTGCCCTTTAAAGAACAGATAATAGATGCAGAAGAACAAGAAGAAACCCTGGCAGTAAGGAGGTCTAAGAAGGCTTTTCAAATCCTAGTTTCTAATCACAGATTTCAGGTTTCTACAAATTTCTTTCTGCAGTCAGATGGAATGAATGTAAAAATAAAACCTTGATGAGGTAAGACTTAATGCCGTAACATTTTCCTCAGCCAATCTGGAAAACAACGCTTTGTCTGACTAATCTATGTTTTTGATTTCTATGCTGGAGCAGACCCAGTCTCACAGGTGACGTAACCCCCCCGGCGGGGTGCTGGAGGAAGGTGCAGAAGAGGGATTAAGTCACTGCATAAAGGCACCTGTTATTTTAGCACACAGGGTGCAACACTTGCCCCGAAGCAAGGGGTGCAGAGCGGCTGTTGGTGTCAGAAATGAGGCACAAACAGGGCACCCATTCAAGCCAGGCTGGACAGTGCTGAATCACACTTGTATAGGGCTCAGACACACTGACTCACACACATGCCCTCACAAAGTCCATACACAGGAAGGCAGACACAATATGAAGAACACTGGTCCTTGTGGTTCTCTTTGACAGACATAGACAAACTCTCATTCTGCCTCCCTCTTTGACCTGCACACACACAAACAATTCCCATAACTAAATTGCGATTCCGACTCCAGACCGCGGTGGATCTGTCGAGGGCATGCGTGCATGGTGGGATATTGCAGATCTCCCTAAATTAGCTAACTTTATAATAAATCACTGGGCACTGCTAGCCAAGGATTAGCCAAGCTCCAGTGAGCGGTTTGTTAAGCTTCGAGGAGAAAACGCCGCCAAAAACTGACATCAGCACTGGGACCTTGGAACAGTCTAACCCCCTGCCTCGTTTCATTTAGCCTTGTTATCCGAGTTCTCCATTGACAAAAAAAAAAAAAAAAAAATCCTGCTCCTACGTTTGGATCTAACTCGGATCTATTACTTTTTCTTCTGTTGGGGTTTTTCCACTAATCACTTTTAGTGCTCAGGACATCAGCTCCAACATCAGGCACACCATTTCATCAATCGCTTTCCTTATGTTTGCCTTTTATAATTTTTTGTGCTATCTTGTCCCCCACTGAGTCATTTCTCTTGGAAGGAGCAATGCTTCCTACTGTCTAGTTATTTATATACTGAGTGAGGAAGCATTTATCCCCCCTTCACTGCATGCACAAACTCCTCGGATTCAGCTTTGCTCAGGTAGCTCATTATGAATCCCATCAAAAGTCACTTTTGTGAAGCTGTTAACGAGTTCAATCTAATTTCTTTTTCAGTAATGCTTACGGTTATATTAGCCTTATCTGTCGGAAGCTCTAATGTCTGTCTCTTAATAATTTTCATTCCTCAATCTTGTTAACAACCTAAATTTTGATCAGTTTTTCCATAAACACGTCACAATGCTTCTCTCCTAAACTCTCACAGGGTGTTTGGTCCATGGCTTCCAAACAAATAAAACCTGTATCCATTACAGATCCTATCACAGCGGTATTTCCTCTGCCGCCTGTTTATTAATTTCCTGTGATAGCATTTGTCTTGTAATTACTGATTGTGTGATGGGCCTTAAAAGGGATGTCAGCACTTGAGAAAAAGAGGACAGCTCCCACTCTGTCAAGTCAAAGATGCCTCGACACATTAGAAGGTTTCCAGTTCACGATCATCTCTGCGTCCTTTTCGCCACAAACTTGTATGTCCCTTAAGAAAGGTCTGAAACAGACTGGTGCAGCAGGATGTGAGCAGCAGGGACAGAGGAACTGTGTGGATCCTGCGGCAGCAACCCCGAGCCCTGGCTGTCAGAGTGGGTGACAGCCCGGACTCGAGGAAGAGGAATTAAAGAGGCTCTTGTCCTCGAAGGCTGATTGACAAGGTAGCGACAGAAAGGTTAGTGGAGGTGCTGGTATTCTCTTAGCTGTGCCTACCCTCACACTGGTCCGGGGGCACTGTCTCACTCTTTCAAGATGTCTCTCTTATTCTTCTCTCCCCTCACTTACACCAGTGCTTATTATAGGAATGCCTCGACCCTTGGGGACTGCACTTTCCAGTCCACAAACCTCAGCTTTGGACAAAAGGAAGCTGAAAAGCAATTTGAATTTGAAACAGGGACCGCAACAAAAACACTGCCCCCAAATGGGAGAACTTCAAGATACCAGGAGCCAGCTACTGAGAAGTAGTGGTCCTTGCACAAAAGCAAAAATGTGATTCTGATACTATCCAGCCAACTAGCCCAATGTACTGTAAAGACAGCAGCTACTGCAGAGGGAGAGGGGGGGGGAGAGAGATGACAGAGCTTGAAGGCAGGAGTGGTGGACATTAGGGGCCCAGCGGGTAGGACTTCAGAACAGACCAGCAGCAGATAACATGCAATCACACAAATCCCACTCACTGCACAAACAAACCAGTTCACAGAGAGGGGCCGTCTGACCAATCGGGTTCACTGTGCGTCCACTGTTCTGCAACTCTGGGTTTGGAAATGATGTTTTGTAATTGAGCCTTACGCCAGAGTCAAAGAGGATAAATCAAGAATTCACAATGAACCCTCCGGGAGAACCTGTTTGACTGAGCTGCACTGACACCTCATCACGATGCAATTAGTCAAACCTTAAGGATGAAAATCCATACCGATGGATGGAAGGTGAAGCGCCTTCGGGCTGCGGGCAGCAGAAATCCGCCTGTTTTGTGCGTAGCTGCAAGCTACGCAGTATGATATTTGTACAGTGAGAGCGACTGTAGCGCTGATGCACAGAGACCAGGTTAGCCCGGTCCTGTGGGTCGGTTCGGTTCTGATGAGTACATTTCTTCCTATAATCATTTTTCCCCGAAAAGCGCCACAAAAAGCGCACCACACCTCACCTCCACACCGGACAGCTCGGTCCACTTACCTCTCACTATCAGGGACAAGAAGAGTGAAAGCAGCGCGAGTCCGTTGTGTCTCCTCACTGGGTACAAAATATCCGAGAGCGAGCTCGTTACTGCGTTACCAGATCCGGTGGAGGGCTTTGGAAACTACTCCTCCCTGCCGCACCTGTCTCTGGCAAACGCTGATCTCGTACGCTGGCCTGACATCCCCCAGACAACTGTCCGAACCCCCTGCTAGTGTGAGCGCACACACGGACACACACACACGGGGCACCACCTGTCCACGGTGCAGAACAGCCCACAAAGAGCTCCTATGTCGCGCGGCGACACATGGCATTCCCCGTTAGTGTCTGCAGCAGCACTCCCTCACAGCCGTCCGAAATCTCCCCCCGAGGGACGTGGACGCGCTGGGAGCAGTGGGTGACGAACAGGAGAAAGCGACAACGGGCGTCCGGCACAGTGGCACAGCAGCTGCGGCGTCTGGGACTGACATCTGCCGCTCTCAGCCTCGCGTCCTCACAGCAGTGCGCTCTCCTCCGCGCCTCTCAGAGAAAGAAAGGACTTTTCCTCACCGCCTGTGCGCCACACCTTCGCGCAAAGCCGGGCTCGGGGTCCAGCGCAAAGTCCCATTCATCCGCTGATCGCGAACAGTTCCGCTCCGTGAGCGGCACTCTGGAGCTCCGGTGGAGTCGGAAGACCTCGGCGTTTCTTCTAGCGGCAGTGTGAGCTACAGCATCTCCGGCACTGAGCCTGTTAGAGCCAAAACCTGAAGCAGAATCATGCAGCGAGTGGAATGGAATTGATTAATGACTAATTGGGCTTAAACGGTGAGGCAAGCCCAAAGCCTCCGAACATCAAAGTCAGGCAGCTGTTTGGGGCATGCGCGCTCCTACAGTCAGCTCAGTGTTAACTCAGTTTCACGGTGGCAAAGTGATGACTGATTAGTGGCGCTAGGCACGAGTTCAAACTCAACCTGAGGCACGCACCTGACAGAGCCCGCCGTTCTTTACTCCAAGAGACCTTTATTCTGAAACACAAACAACAGAAGGTTTGGAGAAGTTCCTCACGGTTCCGCTTACTGTGCTGACGTTAAGATGAAACAACGAGGCCGATTCAAAGCCGTTTCCTGATAAAGATGAGCATTTATTGCTCTCCTCTCTGTGGAGCAGTGTGGAAAGTACCTGAAATAGGCTTCCAGGGAGCAATAAAGCGGATCCAAATAGCCTACCCGAGGATGCATGTTGATCACACAGTGTCCCAGTGTCATCTATTCCCAACATGCTGAAATTCACCACATTTAAACCTCGAAACAAACAGCTGAAAGACATTAAAATGCAAAAATGAAATCATCCCCTATGAAAAGAAAGTTGTTTTCTATTTAAAAAAAAAAAAACTTTTTCAAGTGGAAACAATTTTAATAACAGTTCCTAAAAGTGCTGCTCACTGTAATTCCAGAAAAGCATTCAGCAACTTTGAGCAGTTTCCATGCTGAGTTTAAGCTCTTTCTGTATTTGCATCTTCTCACTGAGCCTAAATTAACACAATAGAGGAATAATTCCGTCTCATTAAATCTCAATAAGCCTCCAGTCAAATCTAATTGTTCCTCAGCACAATTTGGGGTTTGTGTTTGAAATGAATGTGTAACCAGTTGTGTTTGTTCAAGTGACACTGATATAAACAAGCAGGACTTTGAAAGGGAGCGGTGAGAGCCGGCAGTGCTGTTGCTGTGTTAAGTTAAAGGAGTTTAAACCTACTGGACCTTTCAGTGAAATTGCTTGGAGCCAAAGCTACTTTTAAGCTTTCATTCATGAATAATTAATTGCTGAAATAATGACTTTCGCAGGCTCGAAGGCTCATGTGTGTAGCTCACTCTCTTTAGCATCTTAATAAATCTACTGCAAGTGCTCTGACAGCCTTCATACAAGCTGCTGATCACACAGCAGAGCCTCTCCTATGAGGGAGATACTCAAATAGCCATTCAGATTAAGATAAACTGTAATAAAGATTTCATCATCTCTGTTACTTTATGTAAGCAATACTAGTTTTTTAGCGGCAGATGTTGCTGCAACATGAATTTATCCCTTTTCTAAATCCACTTGCGTTCTGTGACTTTCACAGTAGGACTTTGCTTTGCTTGTTTGGTTTTTTGTTTTTTCTTATCTTCATTTGCACAGCCAGAATTTGCTTGCCCCAGCACTGTAATACTTATTAACATTATTTATCCTGCTTACTTTATCATCCCGTGCCGTCTGTGACTTTGTAGCTTCTGCAATTAAAACTTGAAACTTGTTTGTGTTCTCCACAAGAGAGTTGCTGAATGTCTTTGTACAGGTTGACTGCGGTTACAACAGAGGACACCTCTTCGACAGCGGTATCATTACTCAGGCAGACACGGTTTCCAACACTGGAATAATGATGAGTTCTCCTCAATCTCTCCAATTTTTTCTTCCATCCTGTCTCCTGCAAGCCTGCATGTCTCATGTGTCTATAAGGACCTGAACTAACAACATGCAGTCAGTGCAGCAATTTGAGTACCTGAGATGAGTGGCCAAGTGACTTCACAGAGTCAAATAGAGGAAAAACCTTCATTCCACAAGGATTTAAAATGCCCGTGTCCTTGTGTACACTCCTCAGAGTGCATGCAGTACATGTGTGGATATGCACGTGTGTGACCCTGATTCTCCACCCACATCACAGTTGGACAGCTTTTACTTAAATACTGAAGATACAGCAAAATCAGATTTAATAAATATTAACACAAGAAGAGTCATCGAGTCAATAAAATGTCAGAATAACATTCATTGGTTCTAACTACTGCTTGTATTAACCTTCATAAGCTACTTGGTATCAGCACAACCCAGACCACATTAAACTGAACTGGTTTTTTTTTATATCTGGCTTCCAAGATGTCAGACTTTCTTGTCATCTTTTAAAGTTGTCTTGAGCAATAGTTCTCCAGGCTTTCTAAAGTCTTTCAAAGATTATGCACTGCACTCTGATACGTGTCTACACGAAACAGACAACTTGGCAAAGAACCAGTTTTAAATTGTAAGACCTGACACAGTACCCGAGAGACGCATCTGGACCTTCAGCTGATCCACCTACTGTTCATTGAAGCGTCATCAGAGGTACAGCACACAGCAGGTGGCTCTGTCGTGGCCCGGGGATCTTGGTGATCTTCTTAAACTTGATGGAATTATGATCACAAAGAAGTCTCATCAGATTTTGATCATCCTTTTTCAAAGCACTCTTGTTCTTCAGGAGACTGTGGAGACCACGAACATTAGGTCTACATACTTTCTTTGTCGCTCAAGGATAGGTAACACTGGCTCCTTCAAACATAACATCTCCTAACCTACGGGAAACGTGAAAATCTAATGATGTCTCTCGTTCACAAACTTCCTCTTACTACTGCTGGCAGTGGTGTTCTACTACTCTAATATTAAAAAGCTCTCCAAAACCTATTTTTTGTTGTTGTTGTTGTTGTTTTTAAATCCCCAGATTAGCCCTATTATTCTGTTTCCAGCTACTTTGCATAGAAATGATTCAGGACACAGAAACTTTGAGCCATGTTCAACAAAAGAACTCATACCGTTTCATCTCCTGTCAAAGTTTGTGTGCCGACAATAAATAAATAAATAAATATTCGTTTTGTTCATCCTCTTCCTTTCATCCCACTTGGTGTGTCAGAGCAGGAAGGCAGTAGACCTGAGCGTGATAAAAAGAAGAAGAGCTGCCATGAGAAAGCCAGAAAGCTTTGCAAAAAAGAGGAGGAGAAAAAATACAGCCTTTGATGGGGAATGCACTTTTTAATCTTTCAACATGGGGAAAAGGGGAAGGGCAGCACAGTCCTCCCCCTTGGGTGTTTCTGTGTGCACGTTAGAAGCAGCTAAGAGGGGATATGCTGATGCCAGAGTTAGATGAACTCTTCACAGGGAGAGCTTTTGACTGCTAAGTTCTTTTTCAGCAGAAATGTGAATGCAAAAGAAAGAAGCCTCATTCTCCAGGGTGACCATTTTCTGTCTTACCAAAGTAGTCACACGGTTCACACAGTTGCGAACAAAGACGCACAGATTACATGCAGGGCTCATGTGATCAGACCCAGTAACCTTAGAGCAGTCATTCAGACTGTTCCGCTGAATCACGTCTGGACAGTGAATTTTATGGTTTTGCACTTCCATGTGCAAGATCCCGAGGAATTCATTAGTAATAAGAAAAAACTATGAATCATTTAAAGCGACAAACAAACCAGTTAGATTTGACTTGTAGCGAAAACTGCAGTATTTGACCTGCTTGAGTGATAGCTGAGGTTTAAGAAGTTAACTGGAAGTGCAGCCATGTGTTTCTGGTTACTTAGCATATGAAAAACAACAAATCGAATCTGTGTGACAATGACGACTCACACCTGGAGTTCTTTAAAATCACCAAATACAAATGGAAAACATAGAATATCCCCGATTTCTTCATTTTTATTTTCCCTTTGTTCCGTTTTATAATGCTGCACTGAACAGAATGCAGAAAATGACCTTGGTAGTATGATTCACACTGTGAGACTGCGTCTACATTCATATGAAATCATATAAAACATCAACGCAATGAGCTCCGTTTTCTCAGCATGATATATAAACAGAGAAGCAAAGGGTTTAGAACAAGAAGCGTTTGTTGAAAGCAACAACAAGTCTTCTTCATAAATGATGGAAGGATGTTTGCTCAGCTTATGAATCTATGCAAAATGAGCAACCACTTTATATTAAATCGTATTTTTATTCATTATATATTATTCCACTTGCCAGCTCTGCATTGAGTATAAGAATAATTGTAATGGTACATGATCATATGTAAGTTTTAATAATCTCTGTATTTGTTTTTAATATGCTGTTTTATAGACTAGTGTTAATAAACTTATTATCTTGGTGTGAATTAGTTGGGAGCAATCTAGATGAGCGTGGCAGCAGAGGCAGCCATCAGTCTGTCAGCCTGAATGATGAAGTAGGGCGGTGATAAGGTGGAGGAAATGAGAAGTTTATAGAGAAGAGAGAAGAAAAGTACATTTTTGCTGCCAAGAGGTTTGAAGACAATATTATTGCAGAATTCTGTGGAAAGGGATAAAGAAAACGCCTCAAAAAATGACAGAAAAAGAATGGGATCAATACCGAAATATACTGATGTGTCTTTTATTTTCGCAGAGGTAAAAAAAAAGAAAAGCTGGGAATATCGATGTTTTGTGGAATTCTGCGTTTTGCCTCACCTAACCGAGTCAGAGCAGACAGCAGCTCATCGGGCCTTTAGTTTGGGAAGAGGTCACAGTAATGTGCCATCCCTGTCAAAACGCATACAATCACAACACTAAAGAAGCATAAATATTTCAGGGTCAGCCGGCTCGTTGCGTGTTTCCTCACCACCTCCGCTGTGGCAGCTGACCCGCTGTCAGGGCTCTGGGGTGAAATAAGCTCTCCAAAATAAACAGGGGAGACCCAGAGAGACAGCTGTGGGCATTCAAAAAGCAAGTCATAAAACACAGTGTGAGGAAATTGTGCAGCCTGACTGAGACTACCTGTTGGTCGTCGTAAGATACAGCTGTCTTTTGGTTTGCTGCTTTCCATGTTGTATGCAGTGACCTGGTTCCTCCTATGTTCTCCAACTGTGGCTACAAATCTTTTAGATTATGTTTTTTTTTTAAGGGCTGCTAGAGGTTCCCCACAAATCACTTTTCCAATATTCTTTAAGCTGAAGGCACAACAGTCATAAAACGTCTGTAGCCAGTTAAGTTGTCCTCGCTGGGCAATTTTACTCAGAAGATTAAAGGCCGTTAGTCTTGGAAAAAGTTAATGCTCGAAGTTAACGATCTCTGTGAGTTTTCATTTTCAGCCTCCACCTTCTTGTAATATTCAGAACAGATAAAACAATGATGTAAAACTCAAGCTAGACAGCAATAATTGTAAAGATGGTGTCTAATATCATCAGACTAAATGAAACCACTCGTTATTATTTGGAGGACACATCTTTATACGGGCCTGCTCAGTGTTGTTTTGTGATTCCAGCCTCTTATTAGTCTGCTTCTTAGCACTCCTAGTGCTATTTAGCTGATGTAACTGATGTTACTGTAGTATGAATCTTTGCAGTATATGTTTGGAACGTGGTAACCAGGTGTGCTAGTATCAGCTGACAATAACTTAGCACTCTACCCACTAAACTGATGACTTTTGGCTTGGAAAAACTAACATGCTAGTGGGCAACACGATCAGTCCAAAACCACTAAGCGACATGGCACTAGCTTCATCCATCTTTTTTAATTGTCTATGGATTCACCAAATCACTGCAC